AATCGCATTAATGAACCTCGTGCGCCAAATACAATTAATTTAGATTTTCTTGGAACTAAATATTTTATTTCAGCCTTACAAATACATATTTATGGATAATTGTCCTCAGAACTCTGGCTTTTGGCATCATACTAATCAGATGCTAAAATAATAGTAGCATCATTGGACACTTTCTGCATAAGGTAAGCTAGGATTTGAACAAGTTATGAAGATGAAAGTACCATTGAAGTGGGCTAACAATGTACTGGAATGTCACAAACAGGAGGTATGGTCTTTTCACCACCAGACTTTCTTGCCTAAATTTTTCTGCACTTTTTTTCTTGTATTCTTTTGCATTTCTGGAAATAAACCTTAATAAACGGACAATAGCTAACCATATTGCACGAGAAAAATTTTTGCGAATTATGTGATTCAGTGAAAATCATGATGATGTTGGTGATGTTCACAAAATTTTGACTTCATGAAATTATCAAATTGTAACAAAAACAGATAATGCAACAGCATTCCTACCTTCTGAGAATCATATTCAGCTTTCCTACAGATATCTTCTTCGGCATAGACTCCATTTTGCCAGCCAGTTATTTGTTTGTCATCGTCAGATACCCTGATATACTTATCACTAGCAGAAGAGTACCTCAAATGAAACTCTCCCTTGTCGCGCTCCTTCTTGGTTAAAGTAAATGACTTGCCTTTTGGCTTTTCCTACAGAAGAGGTAAAAAAAACATTCCGATACTAAACAAGTGCTTTATTACAAACATAAGTGAACTCCAAGATATTGATAGGAGTTGATAATTTTCAAAAAAAGAAAGTGTTTGAAAAAAACACTGAAACGCTACGACCGGATTCTGCAATAAATTCGCGCATCCGAAAAATCGCCCTTTCATGGCTGGTGGGTCCTTATTTGGGGTTCAAATTTTCAAAAAATTATCATCAAATATTTTTAGGGGGCTTATATTTTCATTGAAAAATCCACCTGAGCCGAAAGAAACTATTACAGAAACTACCGGTAATCTAAAATTTTATACAGTTTTTTCTTGCTGGATTAAAAAGTAGTCAGCACATCTTTCTCCAAAAAAATCGCATTAATGAACCTCGTGCGCCAAATACAATTATTTTGTTTCATTTTATTAGTAAAAGACGTTTCAAATAAAAACGAACTGCAACTGCATGGCTTAGTAATAGTAGCAAGTGGTCGCGGTATTGCAATCCGGTCATGCTGCGTTTTACAATTGTTGATTATTACCTAGTAATGATTATAATAACGTGCAAAAAATAAATTCATTGAATTGTTATGAAATGCAAATAAATTTCAACTTGTTTCATCATGAGCGAATGATTCCAATCACATTTTCAGCGCTCGATGCTGTAGAAATGAATATCCGCCATGTTTGACCTGACAGGTCAAATCGATAATTAACCAATGAAAACGATGGATGATGCCAACGTGTTCAAAATACCATAGCTCATTTAAATGTGTTACCGGTAATGTTATTGAACGCAGCACGGAAGAGATTTGCCGATGATGTTGTTGTACGATCTTTTGGCTTGGATTTTGATGGAAAAGCGGCAGGATTTGCTTTTAAATAAAAAAATTAGTTGTTTTCAAAAGATAAACTGAGCATTTGAAGAATAATTTAACATTGTTTACAGCGATAACAGCTCATTGTCGAAACGAAGCTAACCTATTCACGCTAGTCGCAATAAACATCAATACTCTTGAATAGGCATCATTGACTGCGGCAAAACTTTTAGGCATTAGAAAAGATTAAAATAACACCTTAAAAAACTGCCGAAAAATCACCCTGGGCGGTTTCTTGATCTCAATTTATTTTTTTAAATACCCAAACTGCTGTTTAACGGCCCTGGGTGAATTTACGGCAGAATCCGGTATGTGCAGTCATCGTTCGAAAACCAGTTGATATATATTTAATTGTATTTTGCAAAATTATTCGCAATATTTTGTTATACACAACCCTGCTAAAAATTAGTGATAAACACTGCCCTTTATGGCAGGATTCAACAAATGATATTACTGTATTTATCTGGGTAAGGGCCCATGCCCAGGTAAACGCCCACCCCCCTAATTTTGATAAACAAAATTTAGGTCATGTCCCGGCATACACCCAGGGATTGTCTTTTTCTACACTTGTAATAAAAAAACTAAAAAAAAAAAACTATTTAAAAGTTGACTTTCTTGCAGTCTGTTGTGATTCTGATGAAAATTCTTGAAAAATAAATATCAATTGCATGAAACGAGGGGTGAAAGCGAAATAGCTGTGACAGCAAAATAGGTAATTTTGCATTCTGCCTTCAGGGCAGTGCATTCACTGCTGTTTAGACAATTTACATTTATTTTTCAAGATTCAAGCAAGTCTACAAAAATGTATACTAAAGCAGAAACGGTAGTTCTTTTTTTGAATAATGTTGTGACCCTGAAAAGGACCGTTTGGTTTCAGTTTTCTTAGAAACGATTCAAGCAAATCTTGTAGTATATGGAGAGCCTCAAAGCAAGTGTTGCACTCATTCGGTTATAGCGCCAGCGACAATGAAACCAATGTTGCAATATTGTAGCAACCTGTACCAGAAAGAATGGTTGAAAGCACGTTGTTTTGGCTTTATAAAATATTTGGTAGCAGCTTGCGAATCCATAAAATGGGGCCAGCATTTTTGCAATGGTTGCACCAAAGACTGCCAACCTTTTTACCATCTTACATCACAGCTATTTTGCATTTCTGTCATGAAAATTATTCTCCGACAGAAAAAAAAAATTCTTCCTATTTCAAGCCCACCATGATATCCATAGTGAGACTTTCCAACCACCAGAACTTGCTAAATGATAACTTTCACCATGGTTGATGAGCGTCTAGTCTGATAAGAAAGCAATGTTGACTTGACCTCTATGTCATTCTTAGCCAATCAGTAAAGCATATGCTTAAACTTCAAAGATGATTGAGACTAAACAAAAACATTGTCTGCCATTGTAGCAGAAGCGTTTGTGCACAACCCAATTTTTCTTGTCTCTTTGTAAAAAATGACAATTTAAAGCAGCCGATGAGCTCAACACATTATAGACTGGGCAAGTCGGACATGAGAAGCTGTATCCACTAATGTAGTCAGAAAGTCGTTCCTTGTGACAGCCATTGCAAATGATTTAGATGGTTCTCAAGATGACTTGATTTCAGAGAAAATTGTGTGTTGTTGTAGGGATTTTGTTTGATGACAATGATGACAGTGATGCAGACTTGGAGTTTGAGGGTTTTGACTTTGATGAAGATGGTAATGAACGTACATGAGAAGCTATTTCAAACAACTATGTACTTTCATAATTTTTACTGTGTAAATTATTATTGATCTTGTATGACTGTTTATCCGGTAATCCCTGACATTTTAGTTCATTTTGAGTTCAAACGTATTGGGTGTGTTAGTGGGTGGGGAAATCCTAATTCAAATGATTCTTCACTGTCACTTTTTATTATTTCTGGTTTATTTGTCACCTTATAAGCAATAAATTACTTTTGTTTTACTCTTAATGTTGCATACCGTTCAATTATTTTTGTTGCATGTTTTCATTTGCTATTCTATTCCCTGCCCTGTTCGATCTGCATGTTGTCAATTTTTGCAAAATGTCTTTTGCAGTCCAGTCATAGGCTCACCCTTACTTTTAGGCAATTTCCCAATTTCTAGACCCTAGACACTTACCCAGATAACTATGGTAGATGTTGAATGCCATTAGAATTTTGGAGAAGTAAATATGAACAGTGCTTTTTGGTCGGTTGGAAACTGGCAGAATTGTATTATGATGGTTGTCGACTATCTTTTAGAGGGGAAATGTAAAATTGTTCAATATATGTAAAATATAACACTGATGATGGTGTCAAATCAATCAATGTACTTACCCATTTCTCAATACCTTCCCTGGGTCGAACTCTTACCCAGATTTCTAATGGAAATTCTTTAAAAGCATCTAGAGATTCATTAAAAAGTCTTGTTTGAAAGCATGCCTCATCTCCTATACCCCCTCTAAGAAATGCAGACAGCACTAATGACGATGCACCTGTTAATTTGTGTAGACTGATGGGATTCTCACCTGTAATAAAAAACAAATTCATAGAAACAATTACAATCTGCTACCTGAGACATACAACAGGTTGACAGTATTTATTTAAAGCCAGATCATCCTACTGACCTGCCAACAGAGCTTGGCACAGCAAAAGCTACAGATGTTTTGGGACAATCAAATATAGTTCAGCAATTATTATTTTCCTCAGAAAATCAAATTTCATAATAAAATTGCAACAGAAAACACAAACTTGTATTTTCAGTTGAGTCAAAGGATATATACTATGAAGAATTTGATATGTTGATTAAATCTGTCAAAGAAGCTGCTCTCTGATTGGTCCGACTGCCAGCTGCCAGCCAATCAGAGACAATCTTGTAAGTAGCTTTGCAGGTTGGTCAGCCAGAAATTTAACTTGTTTTCAACCTGGACGTGACAAAATTTGTTTTCTTTAATACACTGACCGCTCGCTATGTCACGCCTCAGAAAGTCTGTTTCGACTAAGTCACAGGTAGTTGGATGGCTCCCAAAAAAAGGACTGGAGGAGACAACTGAACATCTACTGGCCGTCAATTACAGAGATACAAAGGGTAACGGCGGCCTGAATCAAGGTGTCAACAGGGGTATACGTACTATACGTATGTACTTCACAGCCGTTCCCCTTTGATAAAGCTCTATAAAACTTGCAGTAATGAGGTGAATCCATGCAGTCATGGACGCTGTGATGTTCAATAAAAAAAAATACTATAAATAAAGCCATGTGCTTTTTATCCAGTTTCAGTGGATACACCACCACCCCTTTCACGAGACCCCACAGTAAGTCGCGACCCCCTCAATAACTCACAGTTTTTGCTTGGATCTCAACACCCGCAACTTAGTGTGGGGGCCACTGTATTATTAAGAACACACAAGCTGACTTTGTACGAGAAGTGAGGGTAATCTCACCAAGTCGCATGTAAAACACAACTTACCTCCATTGGGTATGATAAATCTATTTGTATTGGCTCCATCGTGGATCCTCCAAGTCACTGACGCATTACTACGAAAAGTACAACTAGTTGCTCTCAATGCACCAAAATCCATCTTGTATTTACCAAAATCAAACTTCCAAGATATAGATGCACTTTCTTCTGCTGATGTATTGGCCACTCTTGAAAGAAATGCCTGGAAAAACATGTAAATAAAATATAATACACTTCTGGCAATAAACAATGTTTAGCTGGTTTTGAGCTAGCTTACCTTGCTTTTAACCACTAAAATCTGCATATTAGTAACACATGTAAATTCTACAAAGAATAACTTGCAATTATTGATGACATTGTTAGATAACTGTATTATAATTAGATCTAGGTTATGCTTTGACTGTACATATGTAGTACAATGTACATTGATGTACCTGGGAACTTTTAAGCAAGTCAGTCTTCCTTGTCCTTTAATGCTTGAAATTTCAAGAAAACTATGGACAACATTGATATGCTGATTATGAACGTTGTAACAAGATTTGAGACTGACTGATTAGTTACAATTCATATGCAAATGAGGAGACATGCAAGAAGCTTCATACAAGTTACTGAAAAAATTAACAAATTAAAGAATGTCATGTAGATATGTTAAAAGGTCTTTGCCTAATATGCCTATTTTATAAGCACTACCGGTAGTTTTGTTTTTCATTTAAATTGCATGTATTTACTTTAAACTTAATCAACTTTAACCATTGGTTTTTTTTCTGGTAATTTGTCATATTGAAAATTTACTCAAGTATATATGGTTAAAAAAAATTCATATGTAGCTATAAAATGGGTATGGTGCAAGAACCATGGTTTTTTTCCAAAAGAATATTTTGATGGGAAAAAAAATCCCAAACGTTTAAATCATGGGTATCTCCACTAACATGTGCAGCATTACATAAATATTGGTATTATGCAAAATTGGGGATAGAAACGTAATGAAACAAAACAAAATACATGAATGAATAAGAACTGGTGAATAAATGAATTGGCTTAATATTCATATACTGCTGAACATTCACAGGGCAAAGAATGCTGATTGACCCAGAAGCAACTTACTACACTATATAACAAATTTCAATTATCTGGATCCTTGGGAACTTACCGGTAACTCACAAGTAAACTTCATTTGCTCTAAGCGATCACAAAGCAAAAATTGCATTTATTGTATGATGAATCATTATCTGTGCATGCCACTATATACTGTACAATGTAAATTATCGTACAAGTGCTTATGTTTAATGTTCCAGTATACAATTAATGTCCACGTATGCTTTGTTTGAAATGCACTTAAAATAGAGCAGATATAGTATTCATTGATACAGGTAGAAGTAAAAGCACTCAAAGAACAACAAATTTATTAATTTGACATTCTGTGTCAAATTAATAATTTCAGCTCACCTCTTTCACATTTTTATTTCGCTGTACATTCTCCGCCATGTATACCCCGCTATCCCATGCATGGATGAGTGCCTTATCATCTGACACTCTTACGTACATATCAGCCAGACATGAATACTTCAGATGGAACACTTTCTTCTTTTTTTCCTTGGCTGACAAGACAAAAACCTTTCCACTTTTCTAAAGGAAAAAAAAACACAATTCAGTATTGAGAAAGTCTTTTAAAAAATATGAAATAATTATGAATAGTGTTCCAGTGGTTCAGCAACAAACTACTGGGTAGGCAGGTAGGAAGAAGTATTCTACCCAGAAATTTAACATATCATTGTGGCTAATTTACAAAGCAAAACCATTTGTTCAATCGCCACTATTGTTATACCTGGGCAACTGGTATACCAATTGTGGTCCATTGTTTACCCACAACCTGTGGAGAACTCCCAAGATTTTATTTTTACTTTACAGAACAACATTGCCTCACTCTGACGTTTATGGGATACTGATATCCTACAGTCATATTTTTACCAGTGAAGTGAGGATTATCAGGATAGTCCTAACTACTTCATTCAAAACATTCATATTAGTGTGCACAGGGGCAGTGACCTATTTTAAATTTGGTTTTACAATTTGTTATTATAAGCGTCTTCTATTTTATTATGGAAATGTTGACACTAAGCTCACATCGCTGTGGTTGCTGCAGAGTTGGCAAAGAAATGTTCATTATCAAAGGCAAGCAACAAGAAACAGGACAAGAAGTTCAACAATTTTTCAAATTAAAAAAAATGTTCAATAGAACCTCAGACATTTCTTATGTCATGCATTATAAAGTGGGAGAGTCGTCACCTACGCATGCATCAGGTGGCCATAGCATGTCATTATACACAAACAAGCGTTTTCTCATATGCCTATGCGTTCTTTGCGTGAGTTATATCGTCGCTTGGGACTCAATTCCCGCGCGTACACGTGACCACCCTCCTGCTTTAACATAAATATAAAAAAAATACGACTTTTTGCAACACATACAATGTATGTTCCAACCAAGACTCAGCACAACCAAAAAGTGGCGTCATTTTCCTGGGGAGATTTTTAAACATTTTCATTCAATGTAAAGAAAGTGTCAAAAATGCACCATGGTTCGACTAAAGTCAAATTCGTTAGTGAACGATACTCTGCTAGTGGAATTAGCCTACTGCAGTAGATGGCACATGTATGCAATAAGAATCTGTCACCTGCTTTACAAATGTATTAGTCGTCATACATGTAGTAAAACACAATAACACAATCTTGACATAGAGAAAGCTTTTCCAGCAATTGGAAACAACCAGAACTCCATATCTGTTTAGCAGAATATCAGTTAAAATCAGATTGGTACATTTGTATGCAGTTATGCCAGTCAGGCACTAACCACCAATTTACAGTTTGAATAAAAGGTTCTTTTGATTGGGAAAAGCATACTGGGTTCATTTCTTAAATCGGTGTACCAAACTCATGCAGACAGGTATGATTATTTGCTGGATTTAGCAATTTCACCACCAGATTTTCTCACCCAAATTTTTCTGCACTTTTTTCTTATATTCTTCAATATTTCTGGAAATTAATCCTAATTTTGAAGCCAACAAACACTTTTTGAGTCGATTTTCAGTTTTTACTCAAAAAAATGTTGCTATTTTTGTCCCAATCTTCAGAAGGAAAGTGCAGACTATAAACAGTACTACATGTATTTTGTAAATTTGTGATGAAAAGAGGGAAATGGTGGTGAATAGGTTTAAATTTCAAATTGAATTGAAAATCAATAACAGAACACGCGTTATTACATGAAAAGTGACTTTTCAGCTGTAGGTCAGTAACACGGTTACATGTACATGGCCTGTAAAACTGTTTACTGACCTAATATAAATAAAGATACCGTTTATTTAGTGCAATTAATCAAAAATCTACATATACATGTACCTAGGTTGGCTATTGCGCCATTTACCACAAAGCTATGCAGCAGGGTGAAAATACGGAGGATTGGTGACATTCTCTCGCCATCAGCATACGCAATTAGCATAACTGGTCATGAATTAGGCCACACATTTCATAAACATACCAAGGAATGTTGTAGCCAGATCTACATGTAAGTCTCACTTTGGGAACCTATTATAACCAAGCAATGTTCAATTTGTTTTATCATTGCAATTAGGCTTGTATATTTTTGTATTTTACGCTAATATTTGCATGCTAGACCTAGCATGTAAACATATGAACCCTTTGGATCCCCAAGTAAATATCTTTCACAACATAAAAAATAATTTTAATATTTTTTTTTATTAAGACAAGCTGCTAATAATGAATATTAGGTCCAAAAATATAGCAAAATACATAAAAATGCATAGAATTTAGGTAGCCACTGTTGGTGTTTGCTGTACCTGCAGTACTGGCAACCAACTTAAGGATGCTGTACACGTTTTTTTGCTTTGAAACACCAAATTCTACTTTTTTGTATTTTTCAATGCTGGACCACAGGGAGCAAACACTCAGTAGAAAAAAAAAAAGGAATTTGATGTTTTTATAGGGTGTAAAAATCAATTTTTGTTAATTAAAAACAAAAGCACATGTCATTGTTTTGAAAGCTATGTTTTAATTAATCAGCTGAAGACATAATAGACAGATAATTTGCATAATAGTCACCACCCATAGCAAATATAAACAGTCTCTTGCATTCAGAACAAGTTCAGACTAGTAATACAAGTATTAGTAGTCCCGAGGTACAAGTTACACGCATTCCATCTACAATCGTCCACAAATTTAATTTCATTGAATTTCTCGCTCTTCAAGCAGTCGACTATGACAGCGACGAAAGAAAACGAATCCAAGGAAATTTGGAGAAGAACGTCGACAATATGTAAAGCGATTACGAGTATTATGAAAATTTAATTATGGAAAGTACTAACGTTAGTACCTTCCAAAATTTAATCGATCAGACAATGGAGGTATAAACAGAAGGTGGAAAATTTGAGCACATGGCAGACTTAGTTTTCGTGACCAAATTACGTGTTATGGACTCAGACCACAATGAGTCGGAAGTGAAACACTTGGCCCCGGACTTGGCCACACGTAAAGCCTGAGACAAGCAGCTGTAAAAGAAAACGTACGCGTCTGTGTGTGTGAGCCTAGTATAGTGACTGGCGTGATCATCCCTGTTTTACCTATTTTATTTTTGCTTAATCTTCACATTCTCAATAAATAATTTCACGGATTCAATGAGATACCGGCAGTAGTCCCCGCCAGCGGTTGTTCCGGTACTACACGTTGAAGATGGAAAAATAATCACACTAATTTTGTCACAACAGTTTTGGGAACTAAAAAAACGGAAAACACGATTTATGGCGAACAGGTTATTTTACAAATGTACAAAATAACTGAGCAAACAAACAGAAAATTCACCGCCCAATCGACAGACAACTTTAAACCCAAGCACAGTCCCTCTATCACATAGAGGGACTGTGACCCAAGCGATCGCATTTCCCGATTCAGTTCAGCACTCGCTGTGACTTCTCTACCCTTCATTGCCATTCAAATCAGATAATACAGATCTTTGTCGAGACATCTCGCGTGGTAAAACAAAAATCTTGGAAACAAAACTACATGTAGTTGACTCTGGTGGTGCATTCAGCCACA